TCAAAGTTATAAAAAGACATAGTATTATTTAAATAGGAGATAGAGAAAGAATTTTTTCCAATTTTGGGGGGTTAATCCTCATCCGAGGGTATGTTTTTTATTGGTTTTTTTGTGTGTGTGAGAGAAGAAGAGAGAAGGAGAGAGAGAGAAAAAGAAAAAGAGAAACGTCAATTGGCTCCCTCCTATACATGCCTCAACCAGGGATTAAACTCAACCTAGGTATGTGCCCATGTTGCCCGGGAGACGAGGGAGCTTAGTTATTGTCTTCTTGAAGGAAAGATTTCAATCAAGAGACAAAGTGTGGCAAAATAAGAATGTATTGGCTGCAACAAAAATGTACTTAGGACAGTGAAACAAGGAAGGGCACAGAGGATGTAACAGGAGAGCCTGGCTGGGCTGCTCTGGCTCACTGAGGAGTCAGAGAGAGAAGGGGGCCTGGAGACAGGCTCGGGGGTTAGCCCTGGATGAGCTCCTGCTGCCCATTGCTCCCCTGGTTGCAAGTCTCCTGGGGTCCCCTAGGAGGGAAGGAGAGGGAAGCACCCTGGGTCCTTTGTCGTGAGCATATTTCTCTCTCTCTGGCAAGTGGGGATCTTAGGGGAGGCCTCAGGGGAGGGTCTCAGTAGAATATTCATCAGCTTTCCAGGGGTGCTCTTTCAGGGTCTTGGTCTTCACTGACTGGTTGGTTCCAGGACAGGGTCATTGGTCACTGTATCTGGTCCTGAGGCAGCCAAGGCGCCACTTATCTGGTTTTGCTGCTTTTCTGTGCCTGGAGCTGAACTACAACTGAGGCCTAGATGTTATGTTTAGGGAGGAAAAGGTCATGGGGCCTAAACCGCATGACTAGTGACATGCTAGAGAGGAGAGGTTCCCCTGAGGGTGAGGTCCCTGTTTCCCAGTTTTGCTCCTTGCTAGCCATCTGGGGCTTTCTCTACTTGGCCTGTCGTCCTTGCTCTGCTCATGTCTTTAACTGCCCATAACACCATGACCGGCAATCGAACCCGCAACCTTTTGGTGTATGGGACGATGCTCCAACAGACTGAGCCACCCTACCAGGGCTTTACTATTGTGTTTTTATGTAACTTAGGAACTTCTGTGATCCCAACTCTACAATCCGATTGAATGATTATGTCCTCTGTATTTAGAATAGTAACCTCTATGACATTCTTTAACATTTCTCAAAAATCTCAATGTCAGATAAATTGTTTATCACAACTGACATTAAGGTCGACATAATATTCCCCTTTCCAAGAAACTAAAGAAATATACAGGACTTTAGAAATTAAATTTAAATTTTTGTTTTAATTTCTAATTTTTCTTTTTTGCTTAATATCTTTGGGATAACTCCAGAGATTTTGAGTGTGGAATAGTTTTCTGCCTGATGTTCTAGAGATAGGTGAAAGACCAGCAGCTCTTCTTCATCCATAGTTGGGACTTTAGAATATTCACAAAGAAGCTTTTCTTAATGTCATATTTTCCTCATTTTAACATCATTGTATATAAAGCTGCAATCACGTTAGTTTTTGTTTTAACCAGATTTGCTAACCTTTCTCGTAATGTGAATATTAAAGTAATAAGCACTGGGCTGATCCCATCAGCACATGACAGGCGTCCCCTTCTGAGCTGTACCTCCCGTCTGGGTGTTGTCGGTCCACCTCTGCTTCCCTGGATACGTGATCTTCCCATGGCCTTGGTGTTTTCTCCACAAGGCCTGGTGGTCCCCTCTCCCCTCGCCAACCACTCCCCTTTCACTGGCTCCTTCACCTTCCCTCTACTCTGAGCTCTGCCCTCCAGTTGCTGTTTTACAGTTTTGTTTAACCACAGGGCCAGGGTGGAGGGCTTGCTAGATAAGGCTTGGGATGTACCTTCCAAAGATAAGCCCTGAAAATCTGTTAAGTGAGTGAAACTATTTGCTTAAGGGCAGGGGCAGGTAAACAACTACCTCCTAAGAGTGTTGTGTAACAGAAGGAAGTGGTTAACCCTGACTGCCTGTGGGGATCGGGAAACCCTTTGAGAGGAAGTGAAAGGTGGGGATCCTCTGATTAGGGGCTGGAGGTGGGAGAAAGGGGGCTTTTCAGGTGGGAAAGCATGACCCACACAGCTGGGGACTCCACTCCTCCCCCTAGAGCTTCCTCTGATGTCCTTGTGTGATTGGCCCCAGACCTCCAGGACACTTTCACTGCTGTCGTTCCATCTTCAATAGGTAAAGGTCTGACTTTATTTTCACATACTTTTAGCCACATTACAACTTAATTTTTCTCCCCTGTTTTGAAATGGATCATCTTTCATCTCCGGTAGATTCTCTCCCCTTCTCTGATATGAAGGTCCTTGTGCCTATGAGATTTTTATTTTTTATCTGTTTACTTAGCTGAGTACCTGAAGTTTTGCTCTGCTGTAGAGAAAACCAGTGACAGTCAGGTCTTTGGCTTCAAAAGCAAATGTGCAACACTCACGGTGGGTGCAGGGTAGGAAACACCTGGCCTCTCATGTCTTTATTTTACATTCAGACTGTGATTTCAATCCCTGTGCACAGGCCACTGCACTGGTCAGACTTCACATTTATCTTGCTGGTGTAGGTAAATACATGGAAAGCATGTTTCGTAGCATTCCTTTTGTTTGTTTCCTCAGTGATAGAACACAAAACTATCCTTCATTTAGTGAGTGTTTATTGAATGCTGCCTGCTGATTTTTCTTACCTAAAATATTTAATGTAAACTTGATTTTCACTTCATAATTTTTGTTTCTCCTGTTTTTCTCCAAGACTTTCGTCACTCAAAACATTATTAAAAGTCCTCACATGTTTACTTCTCTCTTTTTGAATCAACCACAAAATTTCATGAGCACTTTCCAACTTCCTATGATTTTAAGATTGCTTGAGGGGAAAAATAACTGAAGACCATCCCAGTTAACATGTAGCTTAAACTCGAAAGTAAAATTAAAGAAATCAAGGTGGGCTATCTGTTTAAGCATTGCCAGTTGGAGTTAGTGCTTTCTAGGATCTCCAATTCTCCGTTCTCAGGGTGGAAATAGATCTAAGGCCTTAGTAGGAGATTGACAACATAAAGGACTAAAAAAATACACTGATGAACTCGTCATTTTGATGCTCAGATAGAAGTCAGACTGGGCAGGAAAGAAACTCTGCCGATCCCACAAGTGATTTGGGATTGAGAGATTATTTCAGTCACTGCCAAAATGGGACATATGCCCAAATGGGACATGATTCTTTTTATTTATTCATCTAATCCAGTGCCGAGCACTTATTAACTGGACCTTGCAAATACTTGTTGATAATGTGCTATATATTTTGTCGTACTCTGAATATAAGTTTGAATAAAATTACAAGAAGATTTGTTATTTGATTCAGTTTTCAGACTATGTTTGATCCTGCAACTTAAATTATCATTCAGTTTGCTTCTTAAATAGAATTGGGCAGTATTAGGAAAGAATCCCTGGAGACACTGCTTGAGACCAAGTGTCTGCCTTTTGAATATAGTTAATAATATTGTAATAACTATGTATGGTACCAGGTGGGTACTTGATATATCAGGAGGACCACTTTGTAATGTGTATGATTGTGTAACCACTATGCTATACAACTGGAACTAATACAAAATAATACTGAATATAAACTGTAATTGAAAAATAAATTTTTTTTAAAAGTTACTTTCGTGGCTGTTGCAAACATCCAACACTTGAAAAACTGCCTCTTGTGTAAAGAGGCCCCTTCATTGTTGCTAGGAAACCCAGTAACTGTTTTGTATGATCTTGAGATTTTTGTATCTGGTATATGCTGCATGTTTTAGACATTTTTTGAAAATGACATACTGAAAGCCACTTAAAAGTCTGCTTAAAATTTCTTTAGTAGTATACGTAGTAAGAACATCTCAGTATAAAACAGGAATGGGCAGTCATCTTTCTTAAAAATCTCAGTTCTCAAAAAAATAACTGCTGTTAACAGTTTGGTATATATCTTTCCAGATTATTTTTATATATATGTAACTTTTCTAAGCTACTCTTTTAAGATAAAAGTAATTTTTATGTATCAAATAAGAATAAAATATACTATTATGAAAACTAAGTCATTTTATTCTAATGACTAGGTAGAAGTACTGAGAGCATGATTAGGATTTGAATTTAGACACATTTAGATGTCTGATGTCATTTAACTTTTTAATTCTATTTTTACAAAATAAAAACCTTAAAAGCACAGAGTAATTAGGAAATTTTTTTAATACCAAATTTTCATTCTCATATTCTTTTTTTTAAAAAAAATGATTTTGAGAGAACTAGAGAGTGAGAGAGAAACATCAGTGTGGGAGAGAAACATTGATCAGTTGTATCCCATACATACCCTGACTGGGATCCAACTGAAAACCCAGGTATGTGCCCTGACCGGTAATCAAACCCGCAACCTTTTGGTGTACAGGACAACGCTCCAACTGTTATATATTTCTTGCTTATATGTGACGATTTCTTCTTTTCCAGTTTTGGAGAAACTTTTCTTTTGAGATATAATTGACGTACAGAACTCTACATGTTTAAGATGAACTGTATGATTTGACTTGAGCATATTGTGAAATAATTACCACAGTGAGTTTAGTTACACCCATCAGCTCATGTAGAAACAAAAACCAGAAAAAGAAAAATACGGGTTTTTTTCCTTGGGATGAGAAAACTCTTGGGATCTATTCTCTTTGCTTAGAAATATTTTTAAGCATTCAATAAAAGTTATAGAATCAAATTTAATAAAAATGTACAATTAAAGAACTCTTGACGGAAAAAAAAAGTGTCAGAATTCATCAGTATATGTCCCAGTGATTAGATTATACTGTCATTCTAATGTTACGAAGGCACAAACTAAAAACTGGGCACCGCTGAGTTTGAGCTCCCCTACTCGGGTCCCAAATTGCGTCCTGCTTTCACTGCATCCTGTGTCTCTTCTGAAGGGCTGGGTGCTTGAGCATGCCGGTGCTTAGTCCATGTGCTTGTTTCCTTCTGCAGATGTCACCAGAGGTTTGAGCATCACCAGCCCTGACCACATGGTTGAAAAGGCCAAAGGGGAAACTGCCTACTTGCCGTGCAAATTTACCCAAGGTCCGGAAGACCAGGGACCCCTGGACATTGAGTGGCTGCTGTCCCCAGATGATAACCAGAAGGTAGACCAAGTGGTAAGTTCACGGAGTGCTCGCCCCTCGGCAGCTGTCTGTGGGACTTGCCTTCCGTGCCCATCACTGTGCTGACCATGTGGATGTGGTCCCCCCCCCC